TCCTACGCGCGGCGTGGTGCAAGGGCAACACGATGAGGAGCACGCCAGGAAACGAAAAGTAGCTCATGCAATGCTGCTGTACCTTCTCATGCTCCCCCCGCCTCCCCGTACCTTGCCCAAGCATCCTCTCAGGGACGGGCTTGTGAACCGTATGCCGACTGCCGTGAAGTAAGCACAGCGCTGGGGCAAGGGAGAGTGTTTTCCAGGACTGTTTGGGAGCTGATTATGTTACTGCTTTAAAAAAAAATAATAATCACATTGGGAGGAATGGCATGGTGTTTGTTTACTGCATCTCTAGGACGTGGTGATGCCTGCGTTTGATGCGCTGTGTCTCATCAACCCGAAACACTGGAGTCCTTTGAAGGTTATGTAAAAATAAAGGCGCAGACACTCTTCAAAGAGAGGAACAATGGGACCAGGCATTCAGGAACATCCTTTATTACTGCGCAGCGGGACACCGGAAAAGGAAAGCCAAATCAATGAAAACCACAAAGGAACGGTAAAGTAAGGAAATTACCTTCTCTCTTTATAATTAGAGATTTCTCTAAGTACTGTAAATTAGTTAATAAATGCATGACTGTGTACTGTTCAGATTCTCATCCTCCTCTCTGATCCACAGCAACGCAAGCGGTTGCGCTGTTTGATCTTGCAGGTCCCAGCGACAGAGACGACTGCGTCAGTGCTGAAGGCACAAGGCTTATTTGCATGATTTTATCAGCTCTTAAAGTGATGACTATTTTTTAAAGCGAAATCAAACTACACTGACATAACAGCTATGAAGAATATGTGCTGCCTGGCAAAATTAATTGTACTGCAGTGAATCTAAAGTAGGCTGGGGAGATACAACTTGTTTATTTCTGTTCTAAAATGACGTTTTAAAGCTTTCCTTCTTGAAATTAGTAATATTTCTTGTTTGTAGAACAAACACCACTTTCTTGACTCCTACAGCATACACTGTTTTAATGATTCAGTGTGGGTTTTTTTTTTGTTTGTTTGCTGCTGTGCTTACAGAGAAAAGTATCTGATCTATTAGAGGAAAGGAAATATTGTGTAATTTAGTTTTAAGCTGTCCAGATCAATAATGTCATTCCTTTCACTTCCGTATGAAGCTTTTCCTTATCAATATTTTGCATGATCCAACAACAAAAAATAGTGAATTTTTTGTTGATTAGTGAAACTGACTTTGTTTGTGCCTTTATTGCAAAATAGTTTCTATTAATATTATAATAGACTATATGCTACCTGTTCACTTTGCTCATTTTCTTCATAAAAATATTCCTTTAAATTTTACTGAGACTATGCAAATAAGATAGCCAGGCAGGAATTGGCTTGTACTGGTCTTCATATCATACTTAAAGATTACTTCTGCTAAACTGCAGTAGGCCCACAAGTAACAGGTACTACATAAATTAATAGTTAAGTATATAATCTCTAATATTTACTATTTATTATCCCCAACATAACTTTGGTTTCCCCTGACAGAATAGTCTTTATAAGGGCCAAGTTCTCTTATTATATTATCTATTGGAATTTTGCACTTTTGTGTAGTATAAAAATAAAAAGCGACCACAGTATGGTTCTCATGAACTTTAAGTCTCTCCAAGCATAGTTGCCGTCAGCTCTCTCTTTTAAACTGAGTTGCACTGTAAACTTTTACTATGTTTCTGTTCTGACCATGAAATATGTTACTATTGGTGTATGGTATTCTGTTTAATCCTCGCTAGTTACAGCGGTGGAAAAAGCCATCTGAGTACCAAAGGACTAAAGAAACAAATTTCTCATGTGAGATCTTCTGGAAGATTAGGCAAAAATATATCAAATGCCACTGAAAAGGTAAATCATTCCAGTTCCTTGTTTCCTTACAGAAAAAGAGTACTTAGTTTATATCAGCTTTCTTGATCGCAGTAGCAGCATCACATACTTTCCTATCTTTCCAGACTTCCCATGACACTCAGGACGATAACCAACCATGTATTTTTTACAAGGAAAGAAACCAGCTGGGTGACCACATTCAGCCAAGCAGGTAATTTTATGTTAAGGTTCTCTGCTTTATTTGTAGACGTTTCAAATTGGTATGCAAAATGGTTGTGATGAAATCATGGGTTCATTGATTTCTATAAGAATTTTACCTTTGGCTTCACTGGCCCCACAATTCAGCATTTATGAGGAAAAAAAAACTTAAGTTATTAATATGGAAACTTATTATACTGCTTCAATGAGCTTCTAGGCAAAATCAGAATAAAATAAGACAAAAAAATTATCAGAAAAATAATTACTCATGATAGCGTCCCTGAGAATTAAGAATCAACATAGGAATTTTCATGGAGAAAATACCTTTAAAAGATCCATTTGAAGATGAGGAGAGTTTTGGATTTAAGAAGTATTCGAGAACAAGCTCTTGTGGCAGAAAGTATTCGAGAACAAGCTCTTGTGGCAGAAAACATAACCCAATGTGTGAGAGAAGAAAACTGATACTGGGAGGGGAATGCGAATAGTGAGAAAAGACTGAAAAATGAAATGACTATGGCGTGTAGAGTTTTAATAGTGGATAAAAAAAATCAGAGAGCGTTCATGGTTGGGTTGAAGAAGTTAATGGGAATAATATTGCCAGATACAAGATTCCTTGCAACAGAATGGAGTGGATACAAGCAAATATTACGAGCCTAAATTTAATCTTAGAACTCTATTTTGGGAGCTTGCTACTTTAAGGAGAAAGTGAGAAAGATTTACTGAAATTAGCATCCTCTAGAAAAATGGAAGCTATTTTGGATAAGTTAAGTTTGGTAACATACTAACATTGTTTTTACTGCTGAATCTTGACTCTTTCCACAGTGAGGTCTCTGTAAACAGAGATTGCTGTTCATGACCTCTTTTTGCACTCCTCATCATACAAAATTTTTCCTATTCAGTTGTCCGCTAGTCCCTCTCTGTTTGAATGCAGGCACACACAGTTCTCTCCGTTTATGCGGTACTGTTTCTGACGTTTGCTGTTACATTTCCTCTTTTAAGACAAAATAACATCTTGAATTTAGTATTGTACCTCAGGATATTTTGGGGTGAATGCTACCTTTTAATTTGTGATTGATGCACATGTGTATTCATTTGGGAACTATAAGCAGCAATAAGTTTTTATTTTTAAACTATTCAGCATTCCTTACAGAGAGGGTCACATTCTCAACTGCTATAAATGAGTGAAGTGAAGGGGGTTGCATCAGTTTATACCATTTGACCATGAAAGCTTGATTGTTTTGTCTTATGTCCTAACTATTAATTCTGGCCATGGTCTCTGTCTTTAGACTGAATTTCTATTTTATGTGTAACAAGCATTGCAATGTATATCAAATAAGTCAAACCACAACACAGGGTAGCAGGCAGTGTTCTCTTTGCTAGCAAATATTAATCTTACCTCATCAGTAAGTTTTCATGCCAATTTTAGCTTAATTCACATAGATCCAAGTTCTTGTAAGACAGTAGCAAGTCCTTTGTAACTTGTTGTTCCAAATACATTAATCATTTTACTTGTATATGCTCTTTCTTCCTGTTCAGAACGATGAGCGTTTGCACCTCATTGCACAGAGTACAAGGATCAAAGAGGAGTGTCTCAGAAAGAAAACAAAGCGAATCTGTGCTGCACAGGATCCCTCCTAGCATGAAGGGCAGCTCACAAGGTAGCTTCAGGAGGGCAAAAGATGTCCCGATGCAACACTGTTATTGCAGTAAGAACAAACAGTTAGAAAACACTCATAAAGAACATGTTGCTGAAGCTGGTCCATGCTCTTCTAAATGGCAAGAAGCATCTGTAGATCAGATGCTTCTCGATTTTGAATCGGTACGAATTATTAAAGAAGATGCTGAAGATGATAGTGCCAGTGACCTTTCTGATTCAGAAAGGATTCCCGTTCCTCCATCTCCCTGCACACCACCAGAACTCATTCTCAGAGCTGAAGAAATTGATCCAGTTTGTTTGGAACATGTCCTTGATACAGGGTTTAAAGAATCAGAATATTATTACCCAGACTTCCTCCCACCCCCTTTCAACTCCTGGGATTTGAAGCAGCTGGCCATCTTTGTTACTGTAGAGGGTAAAACTGAATTTCGACCGAAGCCAGCAGGATTTCTTGAGAAATACATTGATCGTCTTTTGCAGCTGGAATGGCTGCAAATGCAGACTGTACAGAATGAGAAAGGAAAGACAGCAAAAGTCAGACCTCAAACTGCTCCCAGCTCCATCCGTACCCTAAAAAGCCCTGGGAAAGGCAAAGTATTGCCCAGCCCTTTGCCTAGCAAGCAAGCAATTCCCCAAGAAAGCATTACAAAGCTCCCCACAAGCTATTCAGGTCACAGGAGAGACGCATACTGTGAAGAAAACTGCCAAATGCATGCACAGCCAGGTCACTTTTCTGAGAGCATGGGACGTGCACTGTCATCTCAGAGAAATTCTGGTGAAGTAAGGAGTGAGTTGAGAAAGAAACCGACTGCAAAGCAACAACTTCTCAATACGCAGCCCTCTGAAAACAGTTCTAAAATTCAAGGCATCGGTAACATCAGACCCCCTAAGCAGACCCCTGTATTCCATGGTTCAGCTGCTCCCACTAAAGGCTTAAAAACATATTCGTGTACAAATCCAAAGAAAAACGGCAATGCTAATAACTATGTTCCTTGCAAAAAAATAACAGGGGACAGGAAAATGAAAACAAATGGCACAAAGCAAACATCACGTAAATTTAAATGAAAAATAATCATTAGTAAATGTTGATGCTTCTTGACTGCTAGAAAGCATTTGGCCATGTAGAAGGGTCATGTTTCCTTCATAGGAAGATCTTGAGGAAAGTATGCTCTTGATGCATTTTTCTAAATCACCACTACTCAATTCAATATATTTGATCATAAACCAGCAAGGCCATCAGGAATCTTTTCCTTGAAGGCAAATGTCTTCCACTGGTCTTTCCTCAAAAATATTTACAATTGCTAAATGAAGATAACACTATCTAAATAAGCAAGTTTAGAGAAATATTTAATTGTAAAATTTCCTATTAGCACCACTAACCCCACGGAAATTTGTGGTGTTTCATCTGTTCACCTTGGTGTATTTGAGAGGAGAACAAGATCTATGCTCTTTTTCTTGAGCAGATGTGCTTTTTTGCGGGGTGGGTTTGGTGGTGTTTTTTTTTTTTTTTTCCTGATGGAAAAGGGCTGAATTGTTTTTATAAAATAATGGAACAGGCCAGGCTTATCTATGCAAAGTTAATCTCTCTAATTCTTGATAGGAGATAATGAACTGGATTCTTTCAGATAGGAAGAAGAATGGAGAGAATGTTCTGAAATGTTTTAATGCACAAAGGTTTCTATTAAAGGAAAACAATTATTAGGGAATAGATAGCTTCCACAGTGACAGATTAAGACCATGAAATGCATATTTTTATATCCAGAAACCTTTACTATGTTTACAAACAGCTTTCCTTCAAGTTCATTTTGTAAGTCTTGATGCATTTTGTCATTGAGACCAAATAATCACATTCCTGATTGTTGTGACAAAGGTCCCAATCTTGAAAGATGTTTTGTATTGTCTGCTCATGGTGATGGCAATGCAAATTGAAGTTGTGCTTTGTTTTCCTTCACCGCTCTGCACCCAATTCTGCTAGTATTTGTTATGTACTTTCTTTACTACATGCAAATGACATCTTGATCTTGTCAAAATCGAAACACAATCGCTTATAAGCTACATCAAGAGAGTCAATGATACTTCACATTTTCTTCACATGTGGGAAGCAAACCAAATCCAATAGAGTAGTTTGACCATTTCCCAAGGCAAGGTATGCGTAAAATTTACACTAATTCAGATTCTAAGGTTCCCATTTTAGTTAGATCCTCTTTCTGAAGCAAAGAAAGAAATGTGACTGTTATAGAAGTGAACTGACAGCTGATCACCTAGGCAATACGTGCAATATATCCTCTTCTTGGACCCTCTGTTCTTCTGCCTGTGAAATACAAGAGAATATGAAAGATAGTTTAGTAAGTACTGTAAATTCAAGTGGCAGTTTGTCTGCTACAATTTTGATTCGATTACAGCAGCTAGGGACATGATCCTATTAAAATAAAGAAGAAATGCTAGAGAATATTTTTGCGCAGTGAAATATTTATTGAGCAGCATTGACTTCATTCTCAGCCACCTATCACAGCAAACTATTTATGAGAAGTGAGCTGAGGTCTGACAGACCAGACTTTTCAAGTGGATCCTTCCCACTGTGTTGTAAAATGAAAAAGTAGCAAATACTAAATTATGTATATAGTTAAAATGCACTTTTATTGGTTGATCTCATCTTGGTTGTAAGATGCTTAGTTGCTTCTATTCTTTCATTGTGCCTACCTGATCTTCAGCTTGGTAAAATTTCAAAGCATGGATTTAATGTAATTTAAAATGTGATAATAAATGTAGTAATAAACTAGAGTATTTTACAGTACTTAAAAAAGCAATGCTCAGGAATAGTTTAAGAAACATTTTTAGTGTCTTTTTCCTAGTCAACTGGAGACTAAATGGGAAATTTTAAATTGATGAAGGAAACAAATTTAGTATACAGTATTATATTTACATATTCAGTATTTGTTACCTTACAGTTAAAAACTAATTGTTCCATGTACGTTCTGTTCTATGCAATTAAAGTGAAACTTAATCTGACATGCTCAACGATCAAATAAATTGGCTGTGTCAGAGGTGTGGTGACACTAAAGAGGACGACATTCAATTACCAGCAACTGCAGAGCAGTAGCACAGGCTTCTGTTTGCTGTTTCATCCTTTTGTTTTGTTTCAGAGTTGCCATGTAGGTCAGCTTTTTTGGATCAAAAGGCCCTGCATCCAACGCTTGAGTTTCAAGCTTGGGCCAAATCCTGCAAGCCTTCATTACTCAAGTTTTCCTGAATCAGTAGTGAAAGTTACTCCCGTTGCTAATAAGCAGTATTATCAGTGCACTATTTTGGTGCGCTATTTATAAGCACCAAAAGCGAAGTGACCAGGATCAAGTCCATAATCAGCATGGCAAATTTTTTTAAACAAATTCTAGTAGAAGCAATAATTAATTAGCATGTTATTATAGCACTGAATATTAGTGTATGCTAAATTTGCTTCTGAAAATTTGCTCTGTATTGGTGTTTCCCTAGGTTACAAGGAGAGCATGTAGATACCTGCACATTTTGCATGGTTAGTTCTCAAAAAATAAATAGTGTTTCAGTCTGCCTTGAATAGAGCAAAGGTGATTCGCACTGAGAGAAGGTTTTTCTCACAAACCTATGGGCTTCGAAAATTTTATTGTAATGTACTGCTTGTGGTCTGAAGGACATCGATCTGTTCTTGGGGACTGAAAATTTAAGTAGGCAGAGACGCTGATGCCACTTAAATAAATCTGAACACCTGTTAAACATTGAGCTATGATCTGGCAAGTTTGTCTTGCATGGTAATCACACAAGTCTAATTTTTGTTCATTGATGATTTGGTACTTCTTACGCAGTCCCCTCTGTTCATATACAGAAATACAAATTCTGCGTTATCCTTAATAAACAGCTCTTAAAATAAGCAGGCTCACAAGGGTTGGATTTTATCCTGCAGAACTTTGCTTCTATTTTAACTTGTCCATGTTCTGGGCTCACAGATGAAAAGAGTTCCTTTTATGATGAGGGCTAAGGTTTATATTTCCTTCATTCTGCATTCATGAATGTTGTCTTTAAAAGCACCTCTGAATATAGCAGAAAAGTTGGTTAGGTCAAGTACTTTGTTTGGAATTAAAATACTTGCACAGGACAATGCTTGTGTGGTTATTTATATTTTTCTTCACTATATTTAGCAATATGATGATACATTCTTGTGTGTCTAACCCTACTGTTCAAGGTATTTTTGAAGAAAAATTTTCCTGTGATTTGAGATATTTAAATGGGGCAATTTTTTTTTTTCTAGATAATTTAAAGGTTTAATGTTCTGTAGTACTGCCTACAGAGCTAATACACTCAGGTTGCATTTTAAATAAAATTGCTAGATTCTACTAGTATAAACTTTGAATAAGTCTGTTTTCAGTGAAATTATCCTGTTACAAAGATGTAACAAAACAGAATTTTGCTCCAAAATATATACACACTGTTTTCCTTACTAATGGTATACCCTATTTTTAATGCTTAACACTAAGAATTTTGAAACAATAGAGTTCTTCTCTTTGCATGTTTCTTCTCTCTCTATTGCCTGCATCATCTGCAATGAAATACTGTGGTCACTTAGAGGGTTGTTTCCCCACCTTGTGGTAGCTTTCAGTTAAAGACCGATGTTCTGATGTTTATGCGCAATGCTTCCCAATCCTCATTTTGTAAGAAATCAAGCTTTTGCAGTTACTCACTGAGAAGTTATGCTCCAAAGAGAGAGCATTTGTGTGATCGCTATTTAACATCCTGGGAAAAGGAGCTTCAAGTATGATGTGGAATCATCTTCACGTGGAAGAGACAAGGAGGACTCAAATCCGTCTCCACCGCTGCTTCAGTATCCTAAAACATAGGGTGTCCACCTCTTAAGGCTAGTAAAATGGATTATTTTTCTTTGCAAATGAGAGATTATGTTTGCTGATAAGAATTCAGCAGTAGTGGGGCGATACTGCTCCTTGAAGAGGCAAAAGGCTCCGTATTCTTTGTGCGTAAGACAGGAGACCTCAGCTCCTGTGAGTTTACAGCAAAGGGGTTGCCACGGCTTAGGAGCTCTCATTCCCCACCACTGCCTCTCCCAAGATGTTGCGACTGCAGCTCCCAGCCTGTGTGCTACCTGCGCTAACATGCCTCTGCTGCTGCCCGCTGACCTGTGCCCAGCATGGGGCAATAATGTTGCACATGATGACAATTATGCCTGTTGCATCCTCCCTTTCTGTGCATCATTTAATGTTCTTTGAGGTAATCTATATCTAGCATTTGCTGTTTAAAGGATCTTGTTATGGGTAGACAATATTTTGATGAGAGTTTTGTCAGTTATTGTGTGATATTAAAAATCTACAGTACAAAACTGCCTATGGTGTAATTTTTTGGCCTTCTTTTCAAAGGTACTGAGCCTTTGTTGCTCCCATTGGCTTTAGTGAGTTTTTTGGTAGAAAATAATTAAACGCACCATTCTGTCCAGAAAGAATGGAACTCTGTTAACTGATAATTTCTAGCCCAGCTTTTGATGTCTGGTAATCATGTGTACTTGTTTATTCTAAGTTTCTCTCTCTCTCCTTTTTTATTTTTTTATTTTTTTTGCTAGTAATTTCATTAGAAAGTCATCTTGTAACTTAAAAGTTACTGTCTATTTACTTTATATGCATCTTTGTTACTTGCTTGTATTTTTTTGGATCACCCACAAGATGGCACCTGTGATTTTTTCTTTTAGATAATTTCTGTTACCCCAGAGCTGAGCTTTCTAGGCTGCTGTATCTCAGCTATATTCCTACTGGTAGCCAAGGTAGCTAGTTAAAAACTATATGATTATTTCTATTCTACATGGCAGTTACTTCTGTAGTTGCTGTTTTAAGGCATCATAATACATGAAAATACACACAGACTGTACTTCATCATATTGAGATCTCTCTCACTTTCTTCAAAATCTCTAAAGTTAAACATTACAAAACTCCTTTGGGAGGTATCACATAACAATTTGACAATCAGAAGAGATAAGATGATACAGCTTTTCCAAGGAAAATGTAACCAACAAGCCAGACCAACCTTTTCCAAATGTGGTATTAATCAACTCAATCACCGTTTTCAGAGAAACTTGCACTAAGTATAATAAAGCTTAAGGTTAAAAATTTTACTTATCAGTTCTTTTCTCAGCTTACTTAGGCAGCTAGCAGTTTGCCCTGGACTGAAAAGGAGCCACTCTCCCCTTGTTTGAACCTCTAGAGCGGAGCTGCTAAATTATCTAGGTATGTTCCATAATGCCTATGCCCTTTGTCTTTGTGCTCATGTTGTATTGCGTATCCAGCTTTAGACGTTCATATAGAAGAACTTCAGTATGCAAATTGATACTTGCTTGATGGGTTGCACAGAACAATCTAGTTTAAGAAACATTTTCAGAACTTGTTCTTGGTTCAAAGTCTTAAGTAACATAATAGTAACTGTCACGGTTATGACAGATAAGAATTGCTCAGGGTACTGCATATATATATATATATCAGAAGTATTTGTAATAGCATGTCTCCACTAAATATGAAGTAATATGTTTGCATTTTTGTGAGCAACTGTAAAGTTACCAGGCAATCACATTTCTGAAGAACTCTTTAATGAAAGCTGCCTGTCTATTACAGCTGTATAATGGCCATAAAAGTTCAGTAACGACACATTTGTTTTGAGTGATAGTAGAAGTACCAATTACAAAGCAACTGAAAAAAAAAAACCCACCAAAGGGGAGCTAAGTTTTACTTTGAGTCATTTCAATATTACAGAACAGAGTTTCATTTCATTCCTGTTCTGTCTGCCAGGCAGAAATATCTGCTTTTCCCTGGAGCAGCTCTAACGCCTGTGGAACTGTAGATGATAACTATTTAGTAAAGAACAGAAATAGTGGAAGTGACAATAGTGAAAAACAGATTTTGTTGTAATAAGCCACTGTACAAAATTCCTAGGAGCAACTCAATTGAGAGCATCCAAAATCCTAATGTGCACCCTCTAGACCGGCACATGGAAGAACTGAATTGTCGGAAGGGTTCCCCCTTCCAGCGGGGCAGAACAGATGCTCAGCGCACTCTCTCACACTCTGTTCTCACCTCTGTATCTCAGATAGCTTTGGGGGGAACTCACTATATCCTGCCAAGGAGAACAACTGGGCTGAGACATCTCTACGTAACTGAGGCCTATTCTACATCAAAAAGGCATTGGTACTAGAAGAGATCCATCGCTGTAGCTTTTCTGAAGCAAGGGTATGGGAACAGACACAGGTCCCATGCAGGAAACATAGTTTGGTGTCGCCTAACCTGTTTGAAATAAGGGAACCCCAGAGCTGCAGGACCCCCACGGATAGTGGTACAGTCAGCACACCCTGGGAATCGCCATTGGGGTAGCCTGCTTGTGCACCAGCACCAAGGTACAACATCATCAAGACAAGAGGGGAGCGAGGACTGCCGAACGCTGCCTGTGAGCTGCTGCCATGGGCCAGGCCTGGGCTGCCCTGGAGGAACCAAGGAGGAGGTGCCTCGTGGGGCAGGTGGCCCTGGCACGGCCCCGGTCCCTCCTTCCTTGGCTCTGCGCTGCCCCCGGGGTGGGCGGACGCTGGGGTGCGGCCAGGTGCTTCACGGGCACTGCTTGGCTCCACACCCAGCTCCGCACTTGGCTCTGCGCTGCCATGGAGCGACTCGCTGCGCTGCTTCTCCCGG